TGTAGTAATTGTTTCTTTTCTCGTATGATATTTTATTCTGTATAATACACAATATTCTTGTATTTCATTGACTATGAACTATACTCAGCATATGGTTTGTTATAACTGTGAGTATTTTTCATGTATGTGATTTTGTTCTAATTATTATTTAAAATGGGTGTACACGCAATATATATACGAGTGTATTTTCTACTAAACTCGATCATTTTTCTGGTTGTGGCAGAATACACTTCTCATTCCAACCTTGGATGTCTCCCTCTAGATAGCTGGGGCTGGGGCGCAGCAATAGCTAGCTTACTGGACCTTGATCACCGAATCTCTTTCTCGTTCGCAGATTTAATGAACTAGTGATAGCTTTCACACATAACAATGTTATGCTGTTATGTACAATCTTCATTCACTAGATGAACAGGAAATCACTCGAACATAATAGATAATACGCTTCGAAATTTTCTTTATCTTTAATCGAATTAATCTTTATCAAGAAATCATCCATTCAAAATAAATTCAACATAAATTCATCAAAGATAGTCTACTAAAAAAAGAACCAATGAATTGCCTTGAAATCATGAACCAATCAATCGTAGATCGCTATTGATATTCTGAACGCATTGGACGGCCATTTCGTTCTATTATGGAACTCATGAGTAGTGTGCATTCACGATCCCACCACAGGTCTCGAACCCAGGACCTTCGGTCCCATTAGAACAGTTAAACTTTAAACCATTGAGCCGGCACCCAATGATTTTAATGTTAACCTTCAACCAATCTACGAAATTTCTCGCCTATCTTGCATTGTATTCAATAGATAACTGCCTCACGCTAAACACGGTTGAAATCCACTGACCATAGTTTCTTGTAGATGCACACTGCTGAGAATTTCCACACTAAGATGGAACAGCTGTTCAGTACTTCCAGGTTTTCATTTGTGGTCTAACATTGATGAGTTCATAATCTTAAAAAAACTCAACCATCTCCATTACCGTAAATTGATACTTCGTTATAATTTAACAATTTTATCATCATTTGATGGTGGTAACTGGATATTTTCTATTTGACGCACTATTCGCAACTCACGTTGTTGGTTGTTCAATTTTAAATAGATATTACTAATAATAATAGTAATAGTAACAATAATGACATCAATAATAATTTCTATTGTCGCGATGTTGTATTAAAATGTAATGAATGGAATCAATATTAAGAACTAAATACTGGACCTATAATTACTGACAATAATAGACGATAATGCTACTACTATTACTACTACTACTACTACTACTACTACTACTACTACTACTGCTACTACTACTACTACTACTACTACTACTACTACTAATAATAATAATAATAATAATAATAATAATAGTAATGATATTATTATTATTATCATTAGTGTTTATGAATAATTCATAATATTTTGTACAATTCATGCTTAATGTCTGTGATTACAACTAAACTTTATGAAACCAAATTGTTGATTTATCTATGCATACATAACATTACAAATTGTATTAATTTGGAAGAGAGAAAGTGATTCATTAAAGTAATGAATAGAACAATCCCTCAGAAAAAATGAAATACTCCATGAAGGATATCCCCTTTATATACTGTAATTACTGTTTACATTGAGAAGTAATAATAATAATAATAATAATAATAATAATAATAATAATAGTAAAAATCATTTCTAATGTTTTAGACAGTGATTCATAGTTTATCGACGATTGATTTGTTGTTGAATAATGACCTACATTATTTTTATTCAATTCGTTAGTTCTAACTGAATACAGTCAATCACGGTTTTATGTATTCACCAGTGCGAGTGACTCATAACTATGTTCATTATGCTGAGATATAAGGTAGTGATTGTAAGTAGTCGTCAGGAAAACCTGGATCTAAGTTTTGTACTACTTGATACTCATCAACAAGGCACTACTTGCAATGTGAGGTGGTTGGAGGTAGTAGAAAACATTGATCCACTGTATCTTGCCGACTAACTAATCCTTTCACATAGTTTTATTTGTTAACAAAACCAACATATGACGAATATTGATATTTACTTTGGTTGTTTGTAAAGTTGGCGAGTCACACTTTTTTCATTTCATCCATTTTTCTTATCATTGTAATGACATTTTTGTCCAGTTTTATTAATGTATCATCTAGAAGTTGAATTTGAGATGGTGGAGAAGATTTGTAGTTCAGGTGGATGATTTTAAAGGAGCTTTGTTTTTCGAGCTGGCAGGTTTGGTCGTGAAGATTTCATCGTTCTTCTGAACGACATCATCAGCTCAAACTTCAGGTAGAAGTAAACGTTGGTGATGTCGTTCAGAAGAATGATGAAAGCTCCACAACCGAACTATCCAGCTCAGAGAAGAAAACTCCATCGGAAGTAGATCTATACTTTTCTTTATGGAGTTTTATTACAGTTCATATTTATTTCATTCTAGGCAATTGTAATGAGTTCATAATTTACTTGATATAATTGTATTGTTATAGTTCTATTAATGTTTTTGTCTAAAACCGTTTTTATTTTCAGCTAATTTAGATTATCAACTTTTCAATGAAACTCAGATAGGTACTTTCTCGATCGATCTCATTTATGATGATAAATTAAAATTATAAGTGTGTATTATTGGTTATTTCTAGTTATCATTAGATTGCCTGTTTAGTATTACAATTCAGATAGAAAGGAAATAGTTTGCTTTAATGTTTGTATATAACGCTAAAGCTTCATACATAAACCTTAGTTTATACAAAATAAAGATAGATTTAGAACAGATACATTAGTCATACCTTTTATGTATCATTATATTTCAGATGCATGTTTAAACATGAAATCCATATGAACTGTCTGCTTTTACAGTATTATTGGGAAAACACATGATCACTTGATATTCATCATTGGGTTAATTTAGAATGTTAGTAACTAAAATATAAAAAAAAACTTATTTCATGAAAACATATACTTTTAAATTGACTGATAAACTAAGTATTATCTTTTCAATATACATGTAGGCGTTTACTATCGTACATCTACATTCCTTTCAGAAGTGTATAAACATGTATATACATGACCTCTGTAATTACGATTGATTCAAATAATCAAAAACAGTATAATTTAAATGTAGGTGTAACTAATACACCCAAATAACTATCAGTAAACATTCCTACATATAATATAATAAATGGTACAATGGTTTATCTACTTATGAAATGTATTTAACAACTATACAAATAAGAGATATTCAAAATATCCATACTTATTTGATAAACACTCTTAAATGAATAAATTTAGATTATAATAGATTATTTGACATCTAAATTACTGTACAGTATTCATTACACTTCCTTCTTTAATCTTGAAGAAAAATGATCTTTTTTTTACGTTTAATTTTCATTTCAGCAAATGTACTCTGTATAAATGTGATTTATTGTGGGTTGTTTACTTTTTACAACGCAATTACCATTTTTGATTGTTACGGATAAATTATTTTTAAAATTATTTTATTAGTTCGTGAGTACCATTTATAAGCTTCGACTTAATAATTTTAACTAGTTTGATTATTAAGTAGATGGTAAATAATTGTGAAGACAGCACACGGGTGAACTCAAGGAAATTCTAAGAAGCTCAAAAAGAGCTGACGATATTTCATCTAATCATCTTTTGGAAAAATAGGCCAGATTACCTACTTGTAGCTTCCCTGTTGGACAAATGCTAAAAACCACTGCATGCGGATCGGATGCCAGTAATGATGATTTAGTCTTGCTAAAAACCATAAATACTTGTTAGTTTTGTACCATATTCGACACTGTTTCGAAACACATTCCTTCTTACTCGTCTTTTGTTTTTCTTATTTGCGACTTAGAGGCTTCTAGCGTTCAAGTGCTGAAGTTGTACGCGGCATATGAAGAATCTAAGCTCTCTCTCTCTCTCTCTCTCTATATATATATATATATATATATATATATATATATATATATATATATATATATATATATATAATCTGCCATGGTTAATTAGACTATATGACTTTTAATAATTATGCCTATTGTTTATGGTAAGGATTGAATTGATAAAACATTTTTGTCAAAATATACTCTTTGAATAAATATTGCCTTTAGTATTTGATAAGTCTTCGAATTGAATGCTTGAATCGGTTTTCTAAGCTCTCTTAATAACCCACAGGATAAATCTACACGACAACTTGAGCACGAGAGGAAAGGCGTGAAGTGTGAATAGAACGCTTTACTCCAAAATTACTTCATGCACAAAAAATCGGGGTACTTAAAGTATTACACATAAACTGTCTTCCAGCGTTTCCAGGGACCCTCTTGACCTTTTCAAGGCATTCTTTGGATCTCCTCAATGAGTTTCTTTTTTTAGGATGTAAAACTTGTTGGGATGTGATGAATAAATGTCATACACGATCGGGAACAAAAATCACTTTCACATGTCGTTCGCAGTGCAATTGTTTGAGCTATAACTCATCATATCAGTCTTAATACATTTGCTATGGTTTAATCCTCAAATATAATTTATTCGAATAAAAATCCAATACATGATTGTGTATCTATGATTACTGTAATTTTTCTCTTGACTTCACATTTTAGTCAGTAATAATCATTCAGTTATATCAATTTTCTGTGATATTTATACTATGGGATAAATTTTTATTTATTCATTAATCATTATATTTATACAATCTGTATGTAAATCAATGGATTCAACGATTAATAATCTTTACCAATACATCTATATTGTAAGACTTTAGTAGAGTGAATTGGATGAAAACTTCACTTCACCTTTATTATTTAGTGTCTCCAGAGCTAGAAAGGGAAAAGATGTTATGGTATCCTGATATCTAACGATCATTTAAGAGTTATCGTCATTAACATGGAGCATATAAACATTCGATTCGATGTAGAATAATGACATCAAGTTGAATTCATGATTTGTCCAGTTAGAAATTTTTAAGTTGGATTCGTTATCATGCTGGTTAATTAAGTTGACGTTTATCATCATCATCATCATCATCATCATCATCATCATCATCATCATCATCATCATCATCATCATCATCATCATCATCATCATCATCATCATCATCATCATCATCATCATCATCATCATCATCATCATCATCATCATCATCATCATCATCATCATCATCATCATCATCATCATCATCATCATCATCATCATCATCATCATCATCATCATCATCATCATCATCATCATCATCATCATCATCATCATCATCATCATCATCATCATCATCATCATCATCATCATCATCATCATCATCATCATCATCATCATCATCATCATCATCATCATCATCATCATCATCATCATCATCATCATCATCATCATCATCATCATCATCATCATCATCATCATCATCATCATCATCATCATCATCATCATCATCATCATCATCATCATCATCATCATCATCATCATCATCATCTTCATTGCTAGTCAAAATTTGAAGTGTAATCATATTACTACACTCATAATGCTACAATTCATTATATCGTTCTGATGAAATTATTTTAATATTATATTCCTTTAATTTTCTTTCCTTATGATAACAGAACTAATAAAATAGTCAATGACTCAGCCTTAACATTTCATTGATAATTGGATTATATTTGTATTGAATTACTCTTTCATTTTTATCGGAATGGGGATTTGTGGGGATTGTAGCAATTTTAATAATTGAATTCCTGAGTCTGTCAAAGCCAGACCACCGTTAAAGATATGGGAGCACTGGACAACCGTTTCGTCCTAATGTGGGACTCCTGAGCAGTGCGTATCGATGATCTCACACATGGGACTCGAACCCTAGACCTTCGGTCTCGCGCGCGAACGCAAGGTCATTTTTGTTGTCCAGTATTGAAAAAGAATAAGTGAAATATCATGAATCCTTTTTAGATAAAAATTAATGTTACTGTTACAAACTGTAGTTTAGAAGTAAATAGCAAAATATAAAATTTTCAGTCATTTTTTTATTTTTTAAAAATGTATTATTTAGAACGGCGTTAATTTACTCTAGCGACACTGTAATAGCAGTGTAATTGAAAGATTGTTGACATTTTGCTGTGTAAAACCGTAGTTCCTTTGTCATAGTTAATTTAACGATAGTTTACATGATGGTTTAACTTTTATTTACACAAAATTTGAAAATGAACAAGCTGTTAACTGTTTGGTCATAGTAAGTGATTAGATAAAAATCCACTGGTTTAAATATAATACAGAGTTCATGGATTCTATAGGTCTTCAGTTTGATCTTTAAGGGTATATTTGGAACGAAAATCTATGAAGTTTTATTAAGAATAAAACGACTGAATAAGTCTACATGATTTGTAATGTCTTCTTTACTGAAATCATTGTATAATCTAAACAATCTTTCGTAAAAACCTCCCAGATTGATGATTAATTTAGTTATCATTAACATTCTTGTTTACAATGATTCAAATGAATTAGGAGCTGAAGTTTGTATTTTGTTTAATAAACAATTGATTGTATACTCATAAGTTAACTTTATCTTTCAAACAATCATTTGAATGATTCAAATTACTTTGAAAATCAGTTGTTTTCGTAACAGTTAATTATTAACTTTGTTCATAATTACATTCAATCCATTTGTATTAATTAATAGTGATATTTTGGTGAGAATATAATTTATGTATGTCATCTGAGCGACGCTAGACTGACATCGAGAGTTCCGCCCAATAACCAGTACCGAATGAGGGTTATAAACCTGTGTGAGGAATTAGAATTATGATTTACAGTTGATGAATAAGGTTAGAAATTAGATTTAAAGTTTTCTTCACGATTGACATCAATTATAATGCCGAAACTCGATTTAGTCAAATGGATGAGTGGATTTCGCTCCAAAATCCGGTACCTGTTATCTTATACCTGATTGGTTCATTCATAAATTATAGTCTCGCCGATATTTTTAAAAAAATTTTATGTAATTCACATTTCACATCTGAAATTCAAAAAAGAGATGAATACACGATAGAGGTTATTGATATATATGGTTTTTGTACGTTGTTTATTGATACATGTAAAAATAATTTATATTTATATTGATTAATTGATGAGTAGTAATCGACGTCACGTTCATTTAGCTTTTAGTGCTTATTGAATTCTATTCTTCAAGTTACCATGTAGTCACTGGACTAAGTGCATTGACAATACGACGATTGGAAGAGATCAGTAAGAAACCTCAAACGTAGCTTTCTCTTCAGTTGGAACGTATTTGTTAAACCACGGAGCTAAGTGACTTGATTTCAGATCCCACAGAGATTATCAGTTCTCTGAATTGCAAGGGTATTCCTAGCTGACGAGTCTCAACTACCGTGAATTAGTGATCAAACAGACTTCCGGGACCCCCCACAAATTCTAATTACATTACACAAAATCTGTTTTGTTAAGCGGTTCAATCTAACTTTCTTGATTTATTTACCACCTAAAAACGTCACCGAAAGTGATGGCAGCTCGAAATTATGATTTTCATTCTAGCATTTTATGGATAACAGAGAGATACTGTGTTGTAATTATTTGTTGAACAATAAATTTATAAACAGAATAGACTGTTTTACCAAAACTAACAAATTTCCTATTTCCATCTTCATGTTCAGTGTTTATTCATCACACTATATCTGACGTCGGAACTACTGAGGATTCAAGCTTAGCACAAAGTTTTGTTTATGAGAATAAATGATTATCTATTCTATTCAAAACGACACACTTTTCTTTTTTAACCTTTGTACCATAAAGATATACTACTGTGGGAGACGTTGTACAGTACAGTTCAAAATGGAGTCACGATGCATTGATTTTCATCCGAATTTCGAATTTTATCTCAGTTTGTAATTTTCATTCTTCACTTATATTCATTAGTTCTAAGCTGTATTTCTAATTTTTGAACAAAGCCAAAGTGTTTTCACTCTTTCTTTTCTCTATTTCATATTTTATAAGTGTAATATCTCTCTCTATAGGTATACACATTCATTTTAGGTTTTTACATTGTCTATAATTGATAGCTTACTACAAAATGTTTCACATATTCAAATATATTTACACACATACATTCAATTTTGTACATTATTTAGACATGCGTGATAAAATAGATTAGATTAAAACAAATTTATTTGAATTCAATTATTCATTATTCTGTAGACTTATTGATAGTATTGAAACCATGTGTATTCAATGTTGAAAGCAACGAGTAAAAAACGAACAAACAACAATCAAGCATATTTCCAAGAATAATTGCTAGACGGAATAAGCATTCATTTAAACTGTTAAAAAGATATTTTCTAATAGAGCATTAATTTTAATTGAATATGACATCTTTTTTCCTACAAATTTCTATACATATATTTATTATTATTATCATTATCAGAATGGGGATTGGTGAAGATTGTGGCAATTTTATTAGTTGAATTCATGAGTCGATCAAAGCTAAACCGTAATTGAAAACCTGGAAGCACTGAACGACTGTTTCGTCCTAGTATGGGACTCCTGAGTAGTGTGAGTCCACGATTCTACATATGGGACTCGGACCCATGGCCTTTGATCTCGCGCGTGAACGCTTAACCTCTAGACCTTAAGATCATGGATAGATTGAATTTAGACATTAACATTGTTGGACGCCAGCAATAACACAGTTATGTTTTTCAAAAATAGATATTCATTATTTTAATTGAGAATAATAGTAATACAATTAGATGAAATACACCGGCGAGACAATAATTTATGGATGAACCAATCAGATATAAGGTAACGAGTCTTGGGTTTTGGCGCGAAATTCACTCATCCATTTGGCTAAATAGAGTTTCAACATTATAGCTGATGTTAATTCGTGATGAAAACCTTAAATCTAATTTCTAACCTTAATCATCAACTATAAATCATAATTCTAGTTCTTCGCCCTGGTTTATAAACTTTATTTAGTTCTAGTTAATAGGTGGGCATTCTCAAAGTCAGTTTAACATCGCTCAAATGTCATACATAGAAATCAAATCATACAAACCACAGTATAGATATGCTGGCTTAAAAATTTTTGACGTCGATTACTGAGTACATGAAAACAATTTCTATTAGATATATTTAGAAAATGGGATAAATGTCACTTACGTCTAACAATAAATGATTATTTCATTATTTTGTATGTTTAAGATGTAGGCACCCTGCCCGAAATAGATGAATCATTTAAAAGTATTAAACTGTTCAATTTTTTCTATCATTCAGTTTGTTTTACCATATTCAACTAACTTAAAGTAGATTAGCTTTCACAGTTTAAAATCAGTTTAACGAAATTGTTTTTAATTGATTTCCAATAGATTTATGATTTTTTGGCAGCAAACTGTGAGTTTTACTATCATGTCTGTGGAATTGTTTTACTTTGGATTGATACTAGGAGTGGAATTTATGAGGAGCATTTCGTCCTACTTGACATCCGCCAGTTGGATGTAATTACATTGAATTGTTAATTTTCATACTGATAAAACATAAAAAGTTCTGCTCAAAATGAAATGTCAAGAGAGATTAATTAATCGGAATCCTTATTACTAACAGTGAGAGAATTCTTATTCTTACGCATGAAATTTAATCGGAATCAACATCTCTCAAGTACTGGTAAAGCAAGGGCATCAGTCTTACAGTCGAGAAACATATGAAACTCAAAACAGCTACCTTTCAATCAATATCAAAGTCGAAATCTTCAATACGAACGTAAACACAGTTCTAATGTACGGAGCTGAAACTTCGAGAACTACTATAATCATAACCAAAGCGTACAAATATATCTAAACAGTTCTCTACACAAGATACTCAATGTCTGTTGGTCGGATGTCATCATCAACAGTCTACTGTGGAAGAGAAAAAATCAGTTTTCAACTGAAGAGGAAATTAGGAAAAGACATTGGAAGTTGATAGGACATACATTACGGAAATAATCAAATTACGTCACGAGGTAAGCGCTAACTTGGAATCCTGAATGGAAATGAAGACTTAAGAACACACTGTGTCGAGAATTGGAAGCAGACGTGAAAATGGTGAATAACAATTGGAAACAAGTGTAAAGGATTGCTCAGGACAGAGTTGGATGGAGAATGTTGGTGGGTGGCCTATGGTCCCCCATGAGGGGTAACAGGTGTAAGTAAGTAAGTAAGTAAGTAAGTAAGTAAGTAAGTAGGTAGGTAGGTAGGTAAGTAAGTAAGTAAGTAAGTAAGTAGGTAGGTAGGTAGGTAAGTAAGTAAGTAAGTAAGTAAGTAAGTAAGTAAGTAAAGTAAGACATCCCTCACAAGTCAGATAAGCCACTTTAATTAGTTTTATAGAAACTCGAAGACCAAATGGCAAAAAAAAATAAACTGAATGTTATCTAAAAAACAAACCACGCCAACTGCAAAAGACCATTGCAAAACACCCATCCTATTTGTCTTCATCTAATTGAACATCAATGAGCATCAAATACGACTACCT